TCTCATATGCGTTTTACCGGTAGCTTTCTTTTCAGGTTGTATATGTTGGATAAGATTGAGTTGCAAGTTTTTCTTTTCTTATTTAAGTTATGATTATCTATAAGTTTAGGAAACACGATTTTATTATGATACGATTACGATTAGGATTTATCTAATCATATATATGGAGATGCATATTGTGTTGCATAATATATCGATTTGTGATTTGTGATTGAATACCTTTTGAGTGATTAATAAGAGAAGGACTTCTTATTGATATTGTCATTCCATATTTGGTATCAGAGCAAACACAGAATTCTTGAACCCTACATACAACCATGAGCGACGAGAAGAATGAAATCGTGATCCACAAAGGCGTTGGTCAGACCTCCATCAAATACCCGATGTTAACTTCCTCAAACTACACAGTCTGGTCTATGAGAATGAAGATAGCACTTAAAGTCAATGATGTATGAGAATAATAGACCATGTAACAGAAGATGTGAAAAGGAATAATCTTGCTGTTGCACTTCTATTCCAATACGTACCAGAAGCTTTAATCTTGCAAGTAGGCGATCTAGATACAACAAAGGCAATATGGGATGCAATAAAAGCAAGACACGTTGGATTTGAAAGAGTAAAAGAGATAAGATTACAAACTCTAATGGCAGAATTCGATAGACTCAAGATGAAGGATGGAGATACCATTGATACCTTTGCCGGCAAGATATCCGAAATTGCTTCAAAATCTGTTTCTCTAGGAGAGATGATCGAAGAACCAAAACTTGTAAAAAAATTCTTGAAAAGTCTACCAAGAAAGAATTTTATTCACATGGTTGCATCTCTGGAGCAGATGCTTGACCTTAAAACAACGAGCTTTGAGGATATTGTCGGAAGATTAAAAGCATACGAAGAAAGAATTGCTGAAGAAGAAGAAGAATCCAATGATGAAACCGGAAAATTAATGTACACCACTGCAGATTCAAACTCTGAGAGTTACCGAGGGCGAGGACGTGGTGGTCGACCAAATTGGAGGGGACGAGGCCGAGGCCGTGGAACATTCCAACAACAAACAGAAGCATATATACAAGCAAGGAAGGCTGGTAGATACGTCTCATATTACGTGCTTCAAGTGTGATAAACTTGGTCATTATTATTTGAGAAGAAGAATGATGATACACAAGAAGCTGATGCTCTCATGATGCATGAGGTGGTTTACTTGAATGAAAGAAAAGTGAATCCCAAGAGATTTGAGGCTGAATCAGACACTATAAACGTGTGGTATCTTGACAATGGTGCTAGTAACCACATGAGTGGTAATCGTATGTTTTTCTACTAGCTTGATGACACAATCACTGGAAAGGTACACTTCGGAGATGATTCAAGAATTGATATAATGGGCAAAGGATCAATTAGGTTCATTGTTAAAAGTGGAGAGAGGAAGACATTAAAAGATGTTTACTACATACATGCACTTCGTAGTAATATTGTTAGTTTGGGACAAGCTACTGAGGTTGGATGTGAGGTGTGTATGAGAGACAATACGCTGAGCTTATATGATCGAGGAGGACAGCTAATGGTGAAGACGACAAGAGCAAAGAATCGCTTATACAAAGTGACCTTGGAAGTTGATCATGTCTTATGTTTACAAGTAGAAACATGCAGAAAAGGTGACTTATAGCACACTCGTTTAGGTCATATTAACCAAGAAAAAATGATAAAGATGGCCAAGAAGGAGCTGGTCAGAGGATTACCTTCAACAAGTCGGAACACAGAAGCTTGCGTTTCTTGCTTAAAGGGAAAACAAATCAGGAAAACTTTTCCACAAGCAACAAACTACCGAGCTACAGAGGTACTAGAATTGGTACATGCTGACCTTTGTGGACCTATTACACCATCAACACCATAACATAAGAGGTACATCTTCGTACTCATTGACGATCACTCACGTTACATGTGGACAGTCTTATTAAAGGAAAAAAGCGAAGCCTTTGAGAAGTTTAGACACTTCAAAGTACTTATCGAGAAAGAAACACACAAAGAGCTGAAAATCTTCAGAACGGACAGAGGAGGTGAGTTTACCTCTCACGAGTTTCAGGCCTACTGCAAGAAACACGGCATTAAACGGCACTTAACAGCACCATACTCAACTCAGCAAAATGGAGTAGTAGAACGGAGGAATCAAACTCTATTAGAGATGACTAGAAGTATTCTAAAACATATGAATATACCAAAACATCTTTGGGGCGAAGCAACAAGGCATGCTACCTACTTGATTAACAGAGTCTCGACAAGATCTCTAGAAGGCATGACTCCATACGAAGCATTGAAAGGTAAGAAACCAAACCTTTCTCACCTAAAAATATTTGAGTGTGTGTGCTACACAAGAACATAGTTGGCCGGGAGAAAGAAACTTGATGATAGGTCTAGAGTTCTGATCCATCTAGGAACAGAACAAAGATCAAAAGCGTATCGATTATTTGATCCTCTGAGCAAGCGGATTTTTGTGAGTCGGGATTTTGTATTTGAAGAGAAAAAAAGGTGGAGATGGAACGATAAATGTGATACAGAAGAGGTTGAGACTGAAGACTATGAGCTGAACTTTAGAGGATCAAATAATAATGACCAAGAAATTGATTGCTCTGATGAAGAAACAGAGAATGGCAACATTGGTGACAACGAGAACATTGATTCAGATGACAATGAGAATGAAGACAATAACAATGATCAACCGTCTCTGAGGCGTTCAACGAGAGTAACAAATAAACCCTCCTATCTCGATGACTACATTTTGTTTGCAGAGATTGAAAGTGAACAACTCTTGATGATTATAAACGACGAACCGTGGAGCTTCACTGAAGCTAAAGAACTGAAAGTATGGATTGAGGCTTGCAAAGATGAAATCTCCTCGATAGAAAAGAATGACACCTGGGATCTTGTTGAACTACCTAAAGGCATCAACCTACTGGACTTAAATGGGTATTTAAGTTAAAGCATAACGCCGACGGAACCATCAATAAATATAAAGCAAGGTTGGTAGCCAAAGGATATGTGCAAAGGCATGGTGTGGATTATGATGAAGTGTTCGCTCCAGTGTCCCGTATTGAGACAATCAGATTGATCATTGCATTAGCAGGGTCAAACGGATGGGGAATACACCATCTTGACGTCAAGACAGCCTTCCTTCATGGAGTATTAAAAGAAGACGTGTATGTTACTCAACCGTAAGGTTTTATCGTTACAGGGGAGGAACACAAAGTTTATAAACTTAAGAAGGCTCTCTATGGCTTACGCCAAGCACCAAGGGCCTGGAACTTGAAGCTTAACCAGATTCTGTGTGGATTAAAGTTCATGTGCTGTTCAAAAGAGCCTTCGCTCTATCGGAAGAAGGATAACAACGAAGTTCTCCTTGTGGTGGTTTATGTTGATGATTTGTTGGTCACCGGGTTTTCTCTTACGTCTATACTTGAGTTCAAAGAAGAAATGGCATCCAAGTTGAGCGACCTTGGTAAACTAACATACTACTTGGGAATAGAGGTCTTGCAGCACAAAAGAGGAATCATACTTAAACAAGATAGGTACACCCGCAAGATACTCGAGGAGACAGGTATGAGCTTGTGAAATTTGACGCATGTACCAATGGAGATGAATGCACAGTTCTCTAAAGCCCTTAACGAAGAAAAGGTTGACGAAAAGGAATATCGACGAACTATCGGATGCCTTCGCTATTTGCTGCACACGCGTCCTGACCTTTCATTCTCTGTTGGAGTCCTCAGCAGATACATGCAAGATCCTAAGACTTCTCATGGCGCAGCCTTGAAACAGATTCTGAGGTATCTTCGTGGTACTTGTTCTCTTGGTCTTCATTACTTGCGAGGAAAAGGAGTAAAATTAATGGGATTTAGCGATAGCTCCCACAATGTTGACTTATACGATGGCAAAAGTACCTCATGTCATATATTCTATTGCGGTGAAAGTCCCATAACGTGGAACTCAACTAAGCAAAAGATAGTTGCTCTGTCGTTGTGTGAAGCCGAGTTTATGGCTGCAACAGAGGCAGCTAAACAGGCTATTTGGCTACAAGAACTCTTAGGTGAAGCACTTGGACAAGAAAGAAAGCGAGTGGTTATCAAGGTTGACAACAGATCTGCAATTGCACTTACAAAAAACCCAGTATTTCACGGGCGGAGTAAACATATTCATAGGAGATTTCACGTCATACGAGAGTGTGTCAAAAACTAGAAAATAAAAGTTGAGCATATTCCGGGTAGTGATCAAAAGGCAGATATCCTTACGAAGTCACTTGGAAGAATCAAGTTCAGAGAAATGAGAAATCCCATTGAAGTTCATGAAGTGTGCGAAGATGAGTTCAAGCTTAGGGGGAGATTGTTGGATAAGCTTGAGTTGCAAGTTTTCCTTTTCTTATTTAAGTTATGATTATCTATAAGTTTAGGAAACACGGTTTTATTATGATATGATTATGATTAGGATTTATCTAGTCCTATATATGGAGATGCATATTGTGTTGCATAACATATCGATTTGTGATTTGTGATTGAATACCTTTTGAGTGATTAATAAGAGAAGGACTTCTTATTGATATTGTGATTCTATATTATAGTCAGAGGCAGGCGACCTTGGACCAAGTCAATGAAACATGTATTTTCGACCACCAATAGAATAAGTAACTAATTGGCCACAATTTTATCAAAGATATATGTAGTCTTGTGGTTAGTTGTACTATTATGATATCAAGAGGTGATGGGTTTGAAATTTATCAAGTGCATAATGATACATAGTTCAGAAAAATAATGACAAATACATTACATGTAGTAATTACCAGACATAAATAAATATCCAAGAGAAAACAACTAACTGAAGATTTTTTAGAATAATTTTTACAACAAAGTAAAAACTTGTTATTAAGAAATAACAAAAGTGCATATTGAAATATTAGAGGTTTATGCCTTGGTCTTAGGTTTGGCAAATACAGTCCGGTTCTCCGATCCTAGAGTGTGATTTTACGGTTTAAGCAAAGAGGTAGATAGATTGTCTAAAACTGAGTAAACAGATCTCCATCCCTCCTGAGTAGGGTGAAGTCCATCCCAGAAGAAAGCAGACTCAGGATCATCACATACTGTATACTTCTTAGCACCCATCTCATCCACATTGCCACAACTGCCTTCGCAACATGGTTTCAACGGGGTTTCAAACCTCGTATTCTCTACATTTTCATAAACGACAGATCAAATGAAACAAACTGATTTTTAGTTAATCAAGAATAAAAATGTCAAATTTTGGTTACCTGGATTATCTCCTTTGTTCTTTAAAATGGTCAAGAAGGCGTTATAGAAATCAATGATGGCAAAAGTCGAATGATTGGTCTCGTTGTTGAGCTTGGCCACTACTTGCTCCAACAAGCTGTTATGGTAGTTTACCAACGCGTTAAAAGTCTCGTTGCAACACTGGGACGAGGTGTAGAGGGGGAGGCATCCGAGCGGTGGCAATGATGGTATTGCTATCTTTTTCAGTCCCAAGTCGTGGATTCGCCTCAAATTCAGCTCGGTTTGATCCACCACTTGCTTAATGAATATTGGGAGGGCCTGCGAGTTGCAATATACAGGTGGAACCATATGTAATCTTGTTCTTAAAATCCTGTTCTATTATGTTTCTTCAAAACAAATTACGTAAAAGTTATATGATACTTCCTAACGTAACCCTATATAATCAACTATTGTTCGGTTATAAATTTTATAGTTTTCAAAACCACGTAAACACAAGATTTCAAAGATCTACATATATATATTTGATAATATGAATATATATGTTATTAATAAATATGTATATTCTTTGTGAGAGAGAAGCTTTTTCTTACAGCGATGGAGCGGTTTAGGGCAAGGTAATTGGAATAGTCGTTGCCAGAAACGCTGACGAGAGCGATGGAAGAAGAAAGGTCAGACTGAGAGTAGACATCGTCGAGGAGCTGCTCGAAGAGATTGATCTGAATGGTCATGTTGGGACTCGAACTCTTAGTGTTGAACACTCCTGTTCCTCCGTACGCAAAATTCATTCCGTACCATAACCATTCTTTTTCCCCATAATCTTTCCGCAGGTAAGTAATCGGTGTTTTGATCCTCAAAAATTTGGCTGCTCTCATCGATTCACCAACATGGTTTGTATGTTCATTTACAGATGTTTCATTAAAAATAATTATATACTAGATTTTGACCCGCGCTTCAAAAGCGCGGGTTTTTGTTAGATTATAAACAAATTTTGATATGATTTAGTATTTTAGAAATGATGTACATTATTAGGCTACAAATCTTAATACATAAAATAGATTTTTTTGAAAAATTATGTAATTTATAAATTAGTTTATTTGAGATTTTATATGTAAGTTTTTAATGTAACTCTCTCTAGGTCTTGACATTTTATCCGATCGAAAAACACGACCAAACCGACCCGAAAATATAGGTTCGGCTAGGATCCATGATAAAGTACTTACTGGCTATCTTTAAAGACCCGCAGGAATCGATTTTAGTATGGATCATAACCGAGACCCGATCGGGTACATAAAAGCACTCAATATTTTTTTTATTATATATGTTTGGATATTTCATATATGTTTTTGGTATGATGTATATTCTTTTAAGTTTTAGTTACAGTTTTAGGTTTCGGGTTCTAAAATATATATATATATATATATATATATATATTTTTTTTTTTTTTNGAAATTACCACACTGGAAATACATAGAAATTAGATTATTCATGAAAATATTGAAATTATAAGTTACAATCTTTCAAGAGTCTAGATATCTTTTTAAACAAAATTAATGTTTTAAAATAGTTTCTCTAGAATAGTAAATCATTAATTTTATAACTTGTTTGTATAAATATCCCCAAACATTAGAATACTATGATAATAAATCGGTTTTTGTATTATTACAATATACTATGTTATAGATAGGTTTACTCTAAAAATAATAATATGTTTGGTTTTAAACATATTTATCGTGAATGGAGATGTTCAATATATTTTATACTCTCTATTTATCAAACATCAGCTATGAAAATTAATCAATGGAAATGATAGAGGGTACTGTTGCACAGTTGGTAGCTCAAGCAAATGATATATTTTTTATTTAATGTGTGAAATCAGTCACATATTATGAAATTATATGGTATAAGGTTATAATAATGTTTTGTGGAGAAATAAAAATATTGACCGATAAGAGTAATGTATAATAAATAAGAATATTGACTAATTTATTGTTAGAGAAATATAAGGTAAGTTATATGATATAATGTTATTGTACAATATTGTTAGAGAAATATAAGGANTTATAATAATGTTTTGTGGAGAAATAAAAATATTGACCGATAAGAGTAATGTATAATAAATAAGAATATTGACTAATTTATTGTTAGAGAAATATAAGGTAAGTTATATGATATAATGTTATTGTACAATATTGTTAGAGAAATATAAGGAAAGATAAAAAAAAATGTTAGTATAATGAAAGGGTCCAAACAACTTTTTAAGTAGATTTATTTAGACTCCTTCTCTTTTAATAGTATAGATTATGAGCAGACTAGTTAACATATTAACGAATTCCAAGTCTATATCATATATATACCTAAAATTTGGATGCTTATTGACGTAATATATCTCTTTGAAATGTTATGAGTATATATACAATATTCTATATAAAAAAAATTCTTGTAAATTGACATAAGATAATAATCTGCTAATTTAATTAGAATAGTCTGAAAATGCAAAAGCCTAAAAGTTAGATAGGTGGTACCTAAGAAATCGGTAGAGACTCTGCCGTCCGAGAAACGGCCACAGGGTTTACCGGGGAAAGTGATGCCGTAAGGGACTCTCCATGACACAGCTTGACGCTCTTTTATGTTTCCGGTATCAGCGTAAGAATCTCCGAACACAAACAACTTCTTTGGACTCCATTGATTCGATGAGGAACTTTCAACTCCATTGATTTCTCCTGCCAAAATAGATCCATAAATAAAAATCTTAACATCTTATGTTACTCTACGTATATTAGAGAATTGTACTAAGCACACTACAAGATGATTGTAAATTACCTAAGAGGAGAAAAGAGAAAAAGAAGAGTAGTAGAGAGAGGTAGAGTTTTATCAAGGGATCCATTTCCAAGATTTAGAACAAACCCTTTAATTTTTCTTTTGTCAAGTACAAAAAGAAATGGAGAGAAAGAGAGAATTCTCGTGGAAGAGGTTGGCTAAAGAATTGAAACTTGGAGAAGTGAAACTTACGTGTGTGTTTTTAGTTCATATTAATAAGCCCCACCGTGTTGGAAACAATTAATTTTACAAAGTTTAAATATGATTAAAAATATTAAAATTGATTATTACAAACCACATGTCTTATTTGGCATTTTACAAAGTTTAAATATAACAGTAACCACATGTCTACCAAACAAGCAAATGCCAATCAAATCTTGATTTGTTGGTCTTATCATATATCTTTTGTCTCATATATCAATATATAGGTAATTAATGGCTTAATAATGTAATAACACTGCTAAGCAATTTAACAAATCGTGTTACTTACACTATTTATTTTAGAATAAAAAGAAATTATTCCGCAAAATCCGTGGGTCGGTGGTGAATGCTGAACTCCTTCATATTCGGTACCAAAATAAGATACATTCCATTGACATTATCAACAAACATCACGATCTCGAAAATCTTGACAAATCGCCACACTAGTGCTTAAATCTACTTAGTCTTAGCCCATTTCATACTTAGGTAACGAACGACGCCATTTGATGCTGATGAAAAGATCCAAAGAACGCATTCCCACCAGACTACATACAAAGATACCACACGTAACTATAACTACAAGCATCCACGCAAAAACACACATGACAACCGTTTAGCCAAAAAAACAACAACAAGAAATTGTGATAGTATAAATAAATAACATATTGCCAATGAACCAAATTGTTTTGGTCTAGTGGTAAATAAATTTTAGTTGGAGTGTCCGCCCATGGATTCAAATCTTGGCCACTGCGGAATATTACATATGGACTGCAGCATTCGAACATCCGTCTCTTGTCGTATATTTCGGTGGGGTCAGAATACGCGATTAAAAAGAAAATATTACCAATGGTGTGATTTAATAAAAAATGAATGTCCGTATATTATTATTTTTGTGTTACGTATTATTTTTACTCAGATATACATATTTTTTTGAGCAAACAGATATTTTATTTCTGATAGGATTTTTCCCTAAACAAAAAGAGGAAGCAAGAGAACATCAGTGTTTCACAAAAAGGCCCACCTTATGAGAGATGCTAGTACAGCCCATTAAACCTTAACCAATCAAGTTACAGTGAGAAACGACCAGATGCCGTTTAGCTGACGAGCATGAATGTCTAAGATCAGCCTAAAGGAAAACCAAGTTTCTACTTTGAAGAGATGAGGAAACCAAAAAAAACTTTAAAGAGATGATGCTCAATTTTTTCCTAACAAGAAAAATGATATAAGATTACATTATGGTTCACTTGGGGAACCACAAAGCTCTGATATAGAATGCAATCAGCAAATTTTATTTAGGAAAAAAAAAAGATTCCTAATTTAGTGAAGCCTTAATTAGAACAATTTATTTTAACCTTGCATATAGATTTTTCAAAATATGTCATCTGAACAGAAAGATTATGTTATGGGTTACGAGTATCCGACTAAGTCAATCCCCTTTTAATGCACAACTAGAGCTGGACCCGTCCGACCGGACGAGTATTTATTTCATTTTTTATATAAATGAATATTATTTAAATGTTTATCCGTTAATATTTTTAAATATTTATCATATTTCTACATTTTTATAAACACAACAATCGAATAGTTTATGTGCTGTAAAAATAGTGATTCGTGTCCATTATTAAACTTTTGAAAGATTAATATTGACCTATTGATAGTTTAAATAATATTTCTTGTAACATGAAATTGTTTGCCAAATGTAAAAAGAATTTAAATATTTTGATCAGATATGGATAATATGGTAAGATTTTAGATATGTTATAAAAACAAGAATATTTGGTTATAAACATTAAACATTGTTTTACAAGTAATTCAATTTCAGTATTAAATTTTCTTGTTGAAAATAATGAATAGCAACCAAAATGGTAAAACATATATTTTAGAAATTCTTGAAAATATATAATCTTAGGTGATATTTAATTATATTAAAATAATATTCAGTTACAACTAGTTCATGTTGTTTATAAGCTGTTTAAATATATTTAAAATCTTATTGTTCAAAATAATTAATGCTAAGTTAAACATATATTTTAGGAATATTCATAATATTTTTTAATTTTGAATTTAAACTTGAATTTTGTTCAAAATAATTAATGGTAACGTTATACAAATTTAATATTGTTAAAATCGATTTTAAATATGAATATTCTTAAAAATCAACTAGTTTATTTTAGGGAATATATTAAACATGAAAATTAGGCTAAAATTGATTTAGGAAATTTTTTAATAAATAGGAAAAGACAATGATTACTTACATATAAGTTCATTTAATTACTTCAGTGGCATGCTATTGTAAATAAAAGTGAAATCTAAGGGATATTTTATATTGGTACTTCTCTTTTAATATTATAGATGTAAATTTTTAATTTGGCCTATAAAGTAGATGATGATTATGTAATAGTATACTAGGAAGTGGTTTTCATACTGTTTTCAATTGATGTTTACGCCATCAGAATGGTCGAGTTCATTCTCACATAAATGAATTTTTTGGGTTAAGGAGTTTTTCTCTAATTTTGTAATCAAACATAAGCTGGTCAAGCATGTGCTTATGGCTAATACATGTATAATTTATTTAGCGGTCAATTTAATAACAAGGATCATTGTTGGTTCAGTGGTAAAATGGTCTGTTACACTTGTCATGTTCATGGGTTCAAAACCTCACAAAATGCTATTTTAGGGGTCGAATTTTTTTACTGCTTCTTACCTTAGAAAAGTTAGGCACAGCCCCTGCATATAAAGATAACAAATAATACAACGACGGACAATCATATACAAGGTTTTCAGAATTTGCATCAACTATGTTCTTATATTGAGGTTATGAATGGCGACCCAAAGGCGGTGCGGAATTCATAACTTTTTTCAAAATCGCTTTGACTACACCAATCACCTAAAATTTATTTTGATGTGCGTTTTTGATAAAAACCGCAACAGTAAAAAGTAAACATGTGCACAGATTTCGATGCCTCACATAAAAACGCACTTACAGTAAAACCGTGAATACATGCAAACATGTGTGGTTTTGAGAAATAACGCCACCTATGTAACATTTTTTTTTTTTAATTTTAACACTACTTTTATGTTACCAATACAAACAAATATACTATAAACTCGTTATAGTATTTTGGACCAAAATCTTTGGTGCACGTTTTATAAGACCATGTATAAGAGATAAGCTTTTGATCTTTTTCAAAACAATTGATTTACATTTTGTCATATGTTAAGTTTTATAGCACACTTAAGTTTTATTTAAAATAATTATGTAACAGTCCAAATATTTAACTTTTGTTTACGTTTCATTTTGTTTGATGTTTTAGTATAATACACAAAGATTAAGTTGCAAATTATATAAAATAGCATTAAATCAAATTAAACCAAATCAAACCATTAATAGTTTTTATCTTATGATTTTTTTTTTTACAATTATGACATTATCACTTAACAAACAAAATAAATTTTAGCTGTGCTCTTTATTTAATTATTTATTTTATTATAATTATATATTCAAATGAATAATTATATAGTAAAAAATATCTTAAATAATTTATTTTATTTTATTTTTATCAAAACCGCACTACTTTTTTTATCAAAACCGCACTTATCCCGCAAACCGCACGAACTGTACTTGAACCGTACTGCACTTTAATTCCATCCCGCTTTATTACTAAATCCGCGGTTACCATTCGGACCCTGATTGTATTCTATTGATTTGACTTTTTGACTTGTGTTCAGTTTAGTATAGTTTTTGTTGGAAAAAAAAGTTGTAAGATATGTTTTTTTGTCAAAGCTGTAAAAAATATTAATATAAAATAGGGTATATATTTAAAACATGGAAAACACATTAATTTTGGTTAATTGTAAAGGAATCTGTATCTGCCTCTTTACCTGTAAACTTAAAGAAACACAGGACCCCTTATAGGATGGAATTAGAAAGCATATTAATTAGAATCCGTACTTATTAACTAACAAAGATTAGATACCAACTCTTATGCGGTAAATGCATTAAATGAGAAAAATATAAAAAACTACATTAACATACATGAAAATGCAAAACAGACAAAATTTTCTCACTATACATGAGTTGCATTCTTCGATTTCTCCATCTTTGGTTTGATTCTCTTCTTGAGCAAAGTGAAAAACTGAAAATAGACAAAAGTAATCAGTACACTTTTGACGGAAATGACGTCATCGCTGTTTTTGTTGATGCTTGTAACGGCGGAATTTGTATTGACAACTATGCTTAATGGTCTTCCGACTTGTCCCCTCCGCCACAGGTCTGTCTAATCACTCCTTTTAGGTAGTTCATACATTTAATTGTATTTGAATGCATATATATACTTTTCTACCTTTGTTACAAAGAGACACATTACATTTATATTACAATAAAGGTATAGAGCAGAACTAAAGATGAGCAACGATGATTGTCACGAATATTCTTCTTGTCCTAGCCAATTCAAGAGTTTGTATATAGCAAATCTTGATCCGCGAGTCTCCGAGGCAATATTGATTCAGTTATTATCGGGTTTTGGAAAGATTACAAGATCGATTCTAGCAAAGGATTACAGAGGAGAGCCGCGAGGATTTGCTTTCGTTGAGTTTGAAAGCACACATAGCGCTGAACAAGCCGCTGAACACATGAACGGAAGGCTAATAGGTACACATAATTGAGGATGACTGTATTGCTTTATTTTTGGTTAATTTTTTAATATATAATTACAAAGTCCATAAATCTGATATGGATATTGTCAATCCAGTAGTAGATCGAGTTTTATTAGTTACGGATTATATTGATAACTAGAACCAGATTATATCTCAATGGTGTCTATTATAAATCTCATCTTTTAAGATAAGACCAGACAGGATTGAAAGTAATATGTAATAAACATATGCAAATCACTTATATATCTGTAAATTAGTTTTAAGTCGTAGTAAAAAAGAGGTAACTAGAATACGGGACCCTTTTTTAAATTAATCAAAGCTAAATTTGCTTATTATTGCGTCTTATGATTTTAATATAATATTTTGTAATTATTTGATGAATAGGTCAGAAGATTATATACGTTGAGAGGACACCAAAGGTCGACGAAGGTCAAGACTACATATAACAATCTTTACGTAGGCTATTTGCATAATTTACATGTTCTACAAGATTGTATAAAATATGGAATAGGTTTAATCCCTTGTTATAATTACAAAATGCATTAGTAAAAAAATATTCATTAAAAACGAAACCTTGGCAATAATAAACTTCGGTGTTATTTATATCATTGTAAATTTATTTCACAAAAAGATGTTAAAAATCAGTTGAGAAAGCGTCGTATATTTTTGCCCAGAACTCACATCAAGAACTGGAGTTTCTCAGTACGTCTCTGCTTGAGTTCTCTTGTTGTTTCATTGTTTTCTCGTCAGCTTAGCTTTGTATTGTCTGGAGAGAAAAAGAAAGTAATCAGAAAGCTCGAGAAGTACTGATCAGCTCATGTTCTGATCACTCTCACTTCTTGTCTTCTTATATGGTCTTACATAAAGCTGGTGGGTTTGTTCCGTCACATACTTTACTTGTCATCCAAGCTAACCATTAGTGATCAGTTTGTATCGTAAGTGATTAAATCTAAATATATAGATGTACAATCAAGCCGAAGAAAAGAAAAATGAAGGCTTATTATATATTATCTACTTTCCTAATTAACTCATAGCTCCAAACAAAATACAAAAAAATTAATAGATATCTATGATTATATTTTGTCCAAAAAAATTTCCTTAGACATTGAATAATTTTTAAGTGTCATTACCACAATCAACTACAATCAACTGAAACAAAAAAATGATGACATTGATCATGTCTTATTGTGACATGGAATAAAGCGATTCTGATAAATGATTCAATTTAAAAAAAAAGTCAGATATAAGTTATAAGTATATTAGTTAATACCATAATTAGAAAAATCCGAGCATAAAATTAAATATTAGAAAAGATTAACATACTAAACAAGATATATAACAGAGAAAGTGAAATGTCTATTTTATTGGTATTTTCTATATATTTTAATGTTTGTAATGAAAATTTATCTAAATATGGTAAAATTGTATGAAACTATATCATTATTGGACTTATATTTCATGATTACATATTATTAATGTTTTAAATTTCTTAAGATATAATAAAGATACCAAAGTTATAATATAAAAATAAACTTTGATAAATATTTATATTTATTTATCAATTAACTTTTATAAAAATAAACAAAGGTGATAGTAACTAACAATCAATTTTCTGGTACTTTAGTATTTAAAGTTCTATTTAAATTTATTACTTAAAATAAATATATGACTAATCAAATTCTTAATTTAGTTAACCTATTTAGAGTTCAGTAGCAAGAAGGTTACTAAAATGAGCATCAGTCAATTTATTAGGTGAAAATATTAAATTTATCACTTAAAATTTTTAAGTAGAAAAAAAATTAAATTCATGGAATTTAATCTAAAAATCAAATACAAATATTACTATTTAGAATATTTGAACTATTTTAGAAAATAAAATATTTTAACAAATTTAATTAAATCTAAATACAATCAGATTGAAAAATTAACTACTTTATACTCAAAAAATAATAATTTATTTCTAATAATTTTACTTGAAATAAATTTTAAGAGATGTTATATCTGTGCATGATGCCGTAAACATCTAGTAAAATAAATAGATACCTTGCTTGATAAGTTATCTCTGATGTTCTTTTACGCTTCCAACAAAACGATTCCGTTAGAGAATCGTCTTCTTCCTTCTTGGATTATTTGGAGATTATGGAAATGTCGCAATGATCTTCTCTTCAACCATAAAGTTTACACAGTAAAAGAGGTGTTTGATAAAGCTGTAGCTGATGTACGTGAATGGATAGAGCTGGTTCCTACATCGTCTTCTATTAATACTAACTGTGCGACTACATTAGTATCCTCATGGAAAATTCCACCACGAGGTTTTGTTAAATGCAATTATGATATTTCCCATCACGATGGTCCAACAAATTCAGGTATGGGCTGGATCATACGAAATAACGAAGGTGATTTTTTGGAAGGAGGAATGGGTAAGTTTGAAGGACGAGCTACGGTGTTGGAGTTAGAATTGTCAGCTCTTCTTTGGGCTATTCAAGCATGCTGGAATTTTGGATATCGAAATGTTATTTTTGAGGGAGATAATATCTCTGTTGCTAAATATATCACTCAGGGGATATGTGGACCACGGTTCATACATCTGATAGCAACCATTGAACAATGGAAGTCTATGTTTCACTCGATTTCCTTTGTCTATGTTAGGCGATCATGCCATATGTGTCCTGATTTGTTAGCTAAGATGTCACTTGCAACTAATACGGATTGGAGTTTGTTCCATAATTGTCCTCCCTTCTTGTATAACAATGTCATAACAGATTTATCTCAATAAATAGCTTGGTTAGAAAAAAATAAATAAATAAATAAATAAATAGATGATAATCGCAAAAAAATATATGATTATGCTTTTTGGTCTATTAGCTTAAAGTTACCGCGTCCTCTAAAACGAAATCTAAAAGATTTACTAAAAAGATTCGAATTTATCTTATAGAAGTCGAAATAATTGCCGGTCTTTCGTTAATATATAAAGAGAAGGCGATACTGATTGAGCATATTGCAAAGCAAAACTCTTAACAATATTTTTATAAGATCTCACCATGGGTGCTGCAATAGTAGTAAGTATAATGATGATGAACCACCATTTCAATATGATGAACCAACAAAGCCATAATGATATGAGGAACCAACAACTGCGAAGGCATAGTAAGACAAATGTCAATGGGTTCGTTGTTGAGTCATGGCAGGCAATATTAAGATAAGGATAAGGATACGTTCCTAATACTATGGAGATTGTGTTTATCTACGATATGTGTATCTCTATCTCCTATGAGCCAGAGGCTTTATGTTGTATATATATAGTTTACCATACTCATCAATAAAGATACGCTTTTACACAATATTTCATGGTATTAGAGCTATTGATCTCTAAGACCTAATTTTTTTTTTCTCTTCTCTTTCCAATTTTTCGTTTGATTTTCGTTCTGCTTGTTGATTATGGCGAATGAAACTCAAACATCTTCTTCTACTACTATTGCTACGACTTCTGCTACTCCAGGCGCTATTCCAATGGGAACGCCGTACTACTTAACTCATTCTGATAACCCGGGTGCCTTGATAACCTCTGTTCTATTAACAGGGGACAACTATCCTGAATGGTCTACTGAACTACGAAACTCGTTACAAGCAAAACAGAAGACTGGTTTCATCGATGGAACTATTCTTAAACCTGAAGCAGAACCTGATCTTTCCCGATGGTTAGCAGCAAACTCGATGATTGTCGGCTGGATCAGGACTTCTATTGATCCTAAAGTTCGATCGACTGTTACTTTTGTTCCCGAAGCACAAAAACTTTGGGAAACCTTAAGCTTCCGCTTCTCCGTTAAGAATGCAGCTCGTCTACATCAGCTTCAAGATGCAATTACTCACTGCAAACAGGATGGTCGGTCGGTGTTAGACTACTACGGACGACTTACAAAGCTATGGGAAGAGATGCAAAATCTCAAAACATCCCGCCCATGTACGTGTGATGCTGCAGCTGATATTGAAAAGGAGAGACAAGATGCGAAGGTTCACAAGTTCTTGTTTGGTCTCGATGAATCCCGGTTTCTATCTATTCGCTCTCGAATTACAGATGAAGATCCTTTACCAGATCTTAATATTGTGTACTCGAGAGTGATTCGTGAAGAACAAAATCTGCTTAACTCAAGAGCTCAGGAGCAACGATCTGATGTCCTAGGCTTTTCCACGAAATCAGAGTTACCAACCACTACATCTACATCTCCTTCTACTCAGCGTTCTAGAGACCCTAACAGATCATGTACTCACTGCGGACGTAAAGGTCATGAATACTCAGAGTGCTTCCTCGTTCATGGGTTTCCAGACTGGTACACGGAACAGCAACAGCAACAACAACGTCAATCAAGCGCTTCTACTACCAGAGGTGGTCGCGGTGGTCGTGGTAACTCAAACAGAGGAAGGGGGCGGGGTCGTGCTAACTCGTCTCAGGCTACGTCTCAAGCCACTCCTTCGTTTAATTCTGATCAGATTGCCTCCCTGATCTCACTTCTTCAGAGTCAACAATCCAACATCTCTTCGGAACGTTTGTCGGGTAAAACAGATTTACATGATATTATCATTGATACAGGTGCATCACATCACATGACTGGTGATGTCACTCTTCTACACGATCTTATTGATATTCCTGCATCCTCGGTCACGTTCCCAAATGGCCAACGATCGAGGGCAACGAAGCAGGGAACCTTGCGCCACAGCAAGGATTACTCTCTCTATGATGTTCTATTAGTTCCTGATTTTAACTGCACTCTCCTCTCGGTGTCTAAACTTTTGAAACAGACTGGTTGCATAGCAATTTTTACTGATACGTTGTGTGTTTTACAGGACCGTTTTTCGAGGACTCTGATTGGAGCGGGTGAAGAACGTGAGGGGGTCTATTACTTTACGGGGGTGAAAGTTGCACGAGTTCATGGGGCACAAACGACTCAGTCTTCTTCTGCGCTGTGGCATCGTCGACTTGGTCACCCATCATTTCAAGTGTTGTCTACTTTACCGGTGTTTTCTGATGTTGCTTTAGATTCCAGTGTTTTTCGCCANGGACTCTGATTGGAGCGGGTGAAGAACGTGAGGGGGTCTATTACTTTACGGGGGTGAAAGTTGCACGAGTTCATGGGGCACAAACGACTCAGTCTTCTTCTGCGCTGTGGCATCGTCGACTTGGTCACCCATCATTTCAAGTGTTGTCTACTTTACCGGTGTTTTCTGATGTTGCTTTAGATTCCAGTGTTTTTCGCCATTGCGATATTTGTTTTCGCGCTAAACAAACGCGCAAGGTTTTTCCTGACAGTATTAATAAAGCTACAAATCCGTTTTCTCTTATTCATTGCGATGTATGGGGTCCTTACCGAACTCCTGCGTCTTGTGGTTCTGTCTATTTTCTCACCATAGTTGATGACTATTCTCGTGCTGTATGGACGTATCTGATGCTTGAGAAGTCAGAGGTGTCCAAACTACTACAAAATTTCTGTGCAATGAGTGAACGACAATTTGGTTTCCCTGTCAAAATTGTTCGATCCGACAATGGCACCGAATTCATGGTGTTGAAATCTTACTTTAAAGAAAAGGGTATTATTCATCATACTTCTTGTGTTGATACACCGCAGCAAAATGGCCGCGTGGAAAGGAAACATCGTCACATCTTGAATGTTGCAAGGGCTTGTATGTTTCAGTCACGTCTTCCTGTTACTTTTTGGGGAGAGAGTATTCTCGTGGCTACACATATAATTAACAGGACTCCAACTGGAGTACTAGACGGCAAAAGTCCATACGAAGTTTTGTATGGGAAACCGCCGGCTTATGACCTTCTTCGAGTTTTTGGTTGCTTAAGTTATGCGCATCGAAGGAGTCGTGATAAGGATAAGTTTGGTTCCCGAAGTCGCAAGTGTATTTTTGTTGGGTATCCATTTGGCAAAAAGGCTTGGCGACTCTATGACCTTGAGACTAATGAATTTTTTATCAGCCGTGATGTTACTTTCATTGAAGATGAGTTTCCTGGAGTACAGAGTGAATCGTATGTCTCTCCACCTCAAACCTTTACCGATGACGTGTGTGATGATTGGCTTCTTCCCGTTGCTGACTCAAGGGGGAGCACTACTACTACACTACCTTCTCCGGCAATTCCATCTTCCATGCCGCTTTCCACTACTACCCCTGTCGTACTGGATCCAGCTCCTCTGTTACCTTCGACGTCGTCTGATACTTTATCTTCTACTCATGTCCTTCCCTCTCCAGTTGCAGCGCCTATCTCTCCAGTTGCAGAACCTACATCTCCGATTGCAGGAATTTCTTCTCCACCTACTGCCCCAACGGATTCCTCTCCGGTACAAAACACAAACAACACTTCTCCTACTCAGCCTGCCTCGCCTGTCCAGAGTGAACTCTCTACTTCTCCTTGTTCTCCGGGTCTTCCGGAACTCCTTGGTCGTGGTCACAGAACGAAGACGCCATCGATTCTGCTCAAGAATTTTGTTACTCATGTCTCGGCAACTGACCCCCCTCACGCGTCTACTCACTCCAATCCCAGTTCCTCGACATCGGTTTCAGGTAAAACACCGTATCCAATTGCTAACTATACGTCTGTTTCTATGTTTAATGCTTCTCATCAGGCGTTTCTAGCTACAATAACCACTGACACTGTTCCGACTACATTCCAAGAGGCAGCTCGTGATCAACGTTTTTACAAAGCAATGAAGTCCGAGATTACAGCACTGGAGGAACAACGTACGTGGGATGTAACTAGACTTCCTCCTGGGAAGAGAGCAATTAGCAGTAAATGGATTTACTCATTTAAATACAGGGCTGACGGTACGGTCGAACGCCCAAAAGCTCGATTAGTGGCGTGTGGCAATCGCCAAAAGGAGGGCAGTGATTACAAAGAAACTTTTGCGCCGGTTGCTAAGATGAACACGGTTCGATTTCTTCTTGCTCTTGCGGCAGCTCGTCGATGGGAACTCCATCAGATGGATGTTCATAATGCTTTTCTTCATGGTGACTTGGAGGAAGAGATCTATATGAAGTTACCTCCTGGTTTTAAGTCGGATGATCCGTCTAAGGTTTGCAGGCTACGAAAATCTCTCTATGGCCTCAAACAGGCACCGCGGTGTTGGTTTGCTAAGTTGAGCAAAGCTCTCCTCGCGTTTGGCTTTGTTCAAAGCTATGAAGACTACTCACTCTTCTCTCTCATTCAGGGCAACGTGTGCTTACACATTCTTGTCTACGTTGATGATTTTATCATTGCTGGTAATGATGCTTCGGTTATTCAACGATTCAAAACATATCTTGGTAAATGCTTTAAGATGAAGGATCTTGGGAAGCTTAAATATTTCTTGGGGTTGGAAGTTGCACGTGGACCACAAGGGATATTTGTTTCTCAGCGTAAGTATGCTCTTGACATTGTCACAGAGTGTGGCTTACTTGGCGCTAAACCCTCTCCGGTTCCGACGGAGCTTAATCACAAGTTAGCTTTGGCGGATGGTCCCTTCTTACCGGACGCAAGCAAGTATAGGAGACTCATTGGGCGCCTCATTTACCTCACGTTTACTAGACCGGAGCTCAATTATATTTTCCACATTCTGTCACAATTTATGCAGAAACCTCGTCAGGAGCATTGGCTTGCAGCACTGCGTGTAGTTCGTTACTTAAAGGGAAGTCCAGGACAAGGTATCATGCTCAAAGCCGACTATGACATGCGCTTGACTGCCTACTGTGACTCCGATTGGTCTGCTTGTCCGCTCACCAGACGATCCTTAAGTGCGTATGTGGTTTTATTAGGTGACTCCTTGGTCTCATGGAAGACAAAGAAGCAACGAACGGTTTCTCGTTCATCGGCAGAAGCTGAGTACCGGTCTATGGCTGATGCCACCTGCGAATTACAATGGATGAAACGTCTTCTTACTCAGTTTGGTTTCTCTCATCCTCGCCCTATGCGTCTTTTCTGCGATAGTCAATCTGCCATCCACATTGCCAAGAACCCTGTTTTTCACGAACGGACGAAGCATGTTGAAAATGATTGTCATAAAGTGCGGGATGCGGTGCAAGCAAGGCTTCTCACTACAGAACATATTTCTACCAAGGAACAGCCAGCAGATCTCTTAACCAAGTCGTTGCCCACTCCTACGTTTCAGTATCTTCTTTTCAAGTTGGGAATTCAAGACATTTCATTACCAACTTGAGGGGGAGTATTAAGATAAGGATAAGGATACGTTCCTAATACTATGGAGATTGTGTTTATCTACGATATGTGTATCTCTATCTCCTATGAGCCAGAGGCTTTATGTTGTATATATATAGTTTACCATACTCATCAATAAAGATACGCTTTTACACAATATTTCAGGCAAGTTTAGCCAACTGGATTTTTAAGACATACCCAGAAACTGCACTCAATGTTCAATCTCACAACCCAAAGCTCAGGACATATTATATGAACGTTCTCTTCGGTATCATCCGGAAACTTGGCCACAAGAGATCGCTCTCTGATTCTGAATTAAGCAGAATTTCGAATGGTTTGTCTTATCTGACGCAAGCCGGTTTTAAGGTAGAATGGTTGTGGTCAAAGCTTGAGATGGCTGACTTAGGGAGGAAGAAACGTGATGCTTGTCAAGCTCGGATTCTGGAACTCAAACAAGAAGTCAAGAAACTTGAGCGTGCCATGTCTGGTCTCAAAGCTGATTTGAAAAACGAGAAGGTTAAGTTGAATCATAGTTCGTTTAGAAATTTTTTAGGAGTTGCTTCTGCCTAAAGACATAAAAAAATCCCCGACTGCTTAAAAGATGATTTGTAGTTTTATTTTCAAGTATATATCACGAATGATAAGAGCTTTGATATAACTTGACACACACACGGTTGTAGTTATGGCCTTATGTTGTTTCTTCCTACCATATGTAAGACTTAAATATACCGACTGTTCATTTGAATTTGCTGGAGTTTAACAAATGTATTGCTTAGTTAGTGAACACAACTTCTTAGTAGTATTTTTGTTTAAATTTACAAATTGCTCATTAAAAAGGTGGATTTTGATTAATTTTAGGCGTAAACCCGAATATAGTATGTTAGTCCTCATCACTCCATCACAAGAGGTAAGAAAACTCAAACTAACCATGTCAGAGGAGACTAACCATGTTTAATTAGGGCTCTCTTGGGCTTCCTTCATATATTCTCCTATAATGTCTTTAAATTTACCGCATTTGAATAGAAGATGAGATGGACCAACAATGGGCAAACTTAAATATATTTATGCAACAGATAAACATACTGCTAAAAATATTCACTAATTAGATTCGAATTTATCTTAGAGAGTTCGAAGTAATTTCAGGTCTTTCGCTGCCTACATAAAGAGAAGGCGATATTAATTGAACATATTACGAAAGCAAAACTCTTCAAATTATTTTTATAAGATTTCACCATGGGTGCTGCAACAATAGGGATGATGAAGCTTCAGAATGATATGAGGAACCAACAAATGCGTATTCTACGTGCAACACATGTCAAAGGATTCGCTGTTGAGTCGTCGCAGCTAAAGACGGCTGACTTACAGAGGAAGAAGCCTAATGCCTGTGAAGCTGATCGGATTGTGGAACTCAAACAAGAAGTCAAGAAACTTGAGCCTGAGATGTCTGGTTGCAAAGTTGATGAGTTGAAAGACGAGAAGCCCAAGTTGAAGAAGCATAGTTCGTTTAGGAGTCTTCTGCGGAGTTTCTTCTGCCTAAAGACATAAAATCCCCCAGCTGCTTTTTTTTATTGACCAACCTAAAAGATGATTTGTAGTTTTCTTCTCAAGTGTAACACTAATGATAAGAGTTTGATAGCTTTGCCACACATGGTTTTTTAGTTAGAGTCTTATGTTATTTCTTCTACCATATATGTATAAGACTTTACATATCCGGACTTCCTCTTTAGATTTACTGGGGTTTAACGGCCAAGTTGGATCACTAAGACATATATGTATCTCGTTTGATTATTACTAATCGGTTTTAATTTATTCGATCTTTTCATATCTACCATATCATCAATATCCCTACGTTTTCTTTTTTTTTTTGTTTTTTTGTTCGACCTTTTATTTTTGATATATGCCACATGAATAATTCATTATATGCTCTCATGGGGTTTTTCTTCATATATGCTCTTACAACTAGGTGATTTTCCCGTGCTCATGCACGGGTATGTATATTTATAAAATAAATATACAATAATAATTGATTGATATTTATTTTAATTTTTAAATTAATTTATAGTTTGTATGTATAATTTATATTATAGTATTCTATTACTTTAATTATATATATAATTTTAGATATGTTATATTTAATCTGTTTTATTGTTTTTACGGTCGATTTAATTATCGTTTAGATATATTGGATTTTATCTATTTCTCTGAATTCAACTATAATCTTTTATATTTTAAATATATTAAATTTTTGATTAATAGTCTTATTTTCATTTATGCTGGTTGTTATTTTAGAAATATAAGTATATTTAGTAAGATTATATATAACTTAAGATTTTTTTGTGGTCAGAAGGAAAACAAATACAAACTAAAGTGTCTGATTCTAAATTACATACATAAGTAACTAATGAATTTTTAGAAGCTTTTGAACACATATCAATATTTACAATAATTAAAATATTTTATAAATACTAAATAAATTTATGCTTTAGATTGATTGGATGGTAAACTGAAATTTATTTTTAAATAATTTATGAATAAGGATTCTGAATTGCTTAAGTATTTTGATCATGGTTATATTAAGTTTCACAAACATAAAAACAGAAAATTAAAAATCAAAAGATTTATTAAGAAAACAAATAATTTTAAGTATTAAACTATAATATATCTACCTCATTAAATTATATAGTGTTATGGTATTTTAAAATAATTGTAGTTATTTTCTGCTTTTATGTTTGTGAAACTTAATATAACCATAATCAAAATACTTAAGTAAATCATAATCCTTATTCTTAAAACAAATAATTTTAACTACTAAAATATAATATATCTACCTCGTTGGATTATATTGTGTTATGCTATTTTAAAATAATTGTAGTTACTTGATCAAAAGATGTTTATTACTAAATTATTTTTAGTTTTATTTTTAAAATAGTCAGTAAAAAGTGATTGTTTTTGAGAAATTATACTATATAAGTAAAAAAGAATTTATATTTTTACTGTAATTGTAAGATATTATAGTCAAATAAATATACTAAAAAAATAATTTCAATAATACTAATTATAAAAAATGTCAATTAAACATATATCAGTTTATTTTAGTTGATTATCTTATGTAATCATCTAATAAAATAGATAGATATATAGAAAATAATTATTTTGAAAATATATATATTTTACTGTTTAAATTTTTTTTAAATATTTCTTTTTCTAATAGCAATATTTTTTGTGTGAAATCTTTTTATAAAATCACATTATATACATATATTGTTTTTTTATCTAAGAAGATATAGATCTAAAGTATTTTATTACTTCAAAGGTATATTTTATGTTATTTAAAATATATTTAAATTAAATATTACTATTTTGTGAACTTTCCTTTTTTTATTAAACCATATTATATATACTTATATTTTCGTTTTTAAAAAGTTTTGTAAATTTTATAAATGCTTCCTTTTTATTTTATATTGTTATTTGGAAATTTTTAAAAAGGAAATAATATTTAGTTGTATTTTTAATTCATTAAGGGTATCATAGTAATCAACCAACGTGAGAGTTAACGTGAGCGCGACACATAAGAAAGTGACTTCTCAAATAATATTTTAAAATATTTCTTTTTCTAATAGCAATATTTTTTGTGTGAAATCTTTTTATAAAATCACATTATATACATATATTGTTTTTTATCTAAGAAGATAGAGATCTAAAGTATTTTATTACTTCAAAGGTATATTTTATGTTATTTAAAATATATTTAAATTAAATATTACTATTTTGTGAACTTTCCTTTTTTTTATTAAACCATATTATATATACTTATATTTTCGTTTTTAAAAAGTTTTGTAAATTTTATAAATGTTTCCTTTTTATTTTATATTGTTATTTAATAATTTTTAAAAAATAATATTTAATTATATTTTTAATTCATTAGGGGTATCATAGTAATCAATCAACATGAGAGTTAACGTGAGCGCGACACCTAAGAGAGTGATTTCTCAAATAATATTATAGAGATGCCTTTTAATTTACCGGATTTGAATAAACGATGAGTTGGACATTACTGGGCTTAAAATGGGCCAACTTAAATGTATTTCTGCTACAAATGAACATATAGCTAAAATGTTGTTCGAAGTTCGAAGACACCATTAAAAAGCTAAATAGTAGAAAATGGTGTTTAGTAAGAAAACCGAATATTCTTTTATTCCTCACACAGATAGGGAACACACCTAAGTGGTGAATCACTGGGGATTACAACACCACACACGCATTCAAGCACACTCATAACGAAATTCAAGACACTAAGCCAAACTAAAGGAAGCACATAGACAAAAAGATCAAAGAGAGTAAGATAGTAATAATCTGCTGATTCCGAGGGGAACCGAAGCTTGCCAAAGGATCGAAGTTGCCCTAAAGAGGGAGATAACAAAAGACAAAATCAAGCTTGTCCTCATCAACCTTCATGCAATCTTCATCGCTCCATTTACACACAATCCTCATCATAACCATCACTATAATGATAACGATGAAGATTATATTCACACACCACCTACATAAACACAATTCATACTTTTATAGTCATAATCTCCAAGAGATATCTTCTTTCTTCTTACCTTTTGTGAGTGTTCTTGTGTGTTTAGGCCATCCCCTAAAGAGAATCCGAACCTCTTAAAACCCTTTATGGTGAGATCTTCATATTTGATCAGAGGGTTCTTCATCTTCACTTTCTTTAGGGGATGGCCATATATGGTGTGTTTGGTGTTGTCCCAACGAGACTTTCAACAATGGATGTTAGGTTTTTTATGAATTCTCTCTGTCTTTGGTCATTTGGACACATTTAAAGAGAAATTGAAAACACCCATTGCACAAGTCATAGTGTTTTTTCCACTTTTTTCTTTAAACAATTTTCCGTAATAATTAATCAGCTCAGTGTAACCACAGTATCTCGTATCTGTGTCTGTTGATAATAAATTATTATTTTTTCTTAAACTGTACCTAAAAGTGAATACAAATATAACATGTAGTGTTTACATTTGTACCAACATTAAAACTATTTGTGAATAATGCATTCGTATGTAGAACTGTATATGAGTTCAGAATATATAAAATTTTAAAACAGGTATAAAACAACAAAAAATTGAAAATAAAAATGTATATATACATTATTGGTGTAAAGGGAATAAAAGTAAGGATTGTCATTGGTGTAAAGATGACATTGAAATAAATCAAATTATTATGTTTATTATTATTTTTTGAAAAGTGGAAGGAGATGATGGAACTGAGCAATTCCATGTAAAGATGCTGGAAGAATTTGGATCTTCTAAAGGAATATGCCATTACCAAACATGTGATTGATCAACAAACCCATCTCGTCACGCATTATTTTACTAATTGAAAACGATTTCTTTTTTCCTTTTTCGTTTAAGTATGCCTGTCGACAGAGCTCTATTGTCTTGTCCGGACAAGAAGGTTGTAGTCGGTTTCATATTTGTTTAAAAATGATTTGGTTGCGTTTGTATTACATTTTAGAATACTTTAATTATTTTTGTTATTAATCGATTTAAAACATCTCCAGTCACCTTTGTATTTGACTGAGAATACTATAAATAATGTCACACTAAGAGCTCTTAGGTGATGATTGTTTCTTTGGTTTCTAGATTTTGGATTTTGATTTTAGTTTTTGGTTTTTAGATTTTGAGTTTTGGTTTTTGATTTTGCAATAGATTTTAGTTTTTGAAAAAATATGAATGGTGAGTTTAGATTTTGGTTTCAGTTTTTGGTTTTTACTTTTAAAATAATAAGTGAAAATATTATTAATAGTAAAATATTTATTCTAGAAATGATAAAATATAAAATATTATTATCAGAATACACATAAAATTTTTACATATTAATAAAAACAGCAAATAAAATAGTTTTACGTTTAAACATACACTTAAAAAAAACTAATGTCATAAAATATTATTAAAAGTAAAAATAATTATTAAAGAAAAAAAATTGACTATCACTTCATTATTAGATAAAATATTATTTAACCGTAATAATTTTAATAAAATTAAACTGTATTATAAATGTATATTATTATTTTTTATTTTGACTGTAGTTAATTTTACTAACAATATAAAAATTATAATTAAAAATTCCCTTAAAATCCTACAAAAATAAAAAAATATTTTTATAAAAACAGCTTATGTTGTAGTTTAGAATTTAAATTTAAATGATAGACAAAAAATTGTTCATTCTTAATAATTTGGAATATTTATTATTTTGTTACTAATCTCTTTTTTTATTTATTTATTTATGCTAATATCAGTGCATAAATATAGAAATGTTAATATTTCAATAAAAGACCAAATTAAAAAAAAAATTAAAAAGTCACGTACACTCTAGGAAACTAGGAAATTGTGGTTTTTGGTTTTTGTTAAGAGATAGGTAGTTATTTTCAAAATCTGGTTTCCCTAAATTTTAGGGAATCTATTTTGCAAAAAAATTGATTGGTGAAAAAGTAGTTTTTATAAAATCAAAAACCAAAAACTACTTTAGAAACTACAAACAATCAACCTAATCTCCGGTGAAATCTACAATATTCAAAATGTGAACGTAAACAAAAGAGAAACAACAATCCTTTTCCAAGTAATTTACACAGTTATCAGTTAGTAAAAAGAATACAATCAAACAGGAAAAGCGGGACACACTCTCCATATACAATGGCAACGAATAAAATCAAAGAAAAATAAGTTTGAAAGAATTTTACCTTTACACAATTAGCTTTGGGTTGTTTGTTTTTTACCTTCGTGGTTCATTCATAGACTTCCCTTCAAACAACTCACTCAACAATCTCTCAAGATCCTCAGCTGTATACTTTATGTATTTCTGCGGATTCTTCCCATTCTCAACCAGAGGCCTACACCAATCATCGGTTTAAATCCCTTTACTTTTTACATTTTGATAAAAAAACTATTAATGCAGTTAAGAGACAGAGATAAGATTTTACCCAAAGCGTTTAAGGAATGCTCTGTAAGCAGGCAATAGTACTTCAGCAACAGCAAGTCTTAGTGACTCTCTCAGCTCTGTGTCTGGAACTGTCCATTGAGATTGTCTCTGATGCAACTCATCAAATTGCATATTGAACATCTTGAACCTGTTTCATTTTTTTCATATTTCTTTTAACTCATCGTATTATCAAAGTATATATACACATTACTTTTCTGATAGTTAATATAATGAATATTTATGTTACTTGTTTACGGCTTTACCTCTCTTTCAATAATCCTCTTGACACTCCGCTGCTGTTTCCTCCCTCTAAACTCCCTCCTCCGGATGAGGTCAACCCTTGCGCCGACGAGGTTTGTAATATCTACAAATTAAATATATATCAGTTTCAATCATACCTTGGCCTTTTGCTTTCAATTTCCTTGTAACCATATGATAGAAGATTTTATACAAATGTATATAATTCCAGAAATAGGTCGAACCTTTGTCCAAGCTGTCCTTTTGTATAAGTTTGCATGTTGCTGAACGATACGCCTATGCCTCTGAACCCAATCATCGCCTAACAAATCCTTGGCTTCAGACCTGTAAACATTTATGATATCAATAAAACCAACTACATCAATCGAATGCTTTCTTTTATAAACCCTGACTAGTCTTTAAACGCAACTGAACTCACCTGCGCACCGATCTAACCATGTAATGAATGTTGTTCATTAGGAACAAGTGTGTCAATGCAGGATCTCTGTACTGTTTCGATTTCCCGTCTAAGTTGTTTTGAAGTGCCTGCATTATCCGCATTGTTACGGATGCTAGCTGCGAGTTTGAGTCATCTCCATTTCCAAATTCCAAGAAAAGTTGCTTCAAAGTCGCTTGGTAGCTGACACCAAAGATCATCAATACAAGCATGTAGAGAGGCAATACGCAAATACGCGAACAGTTTAAAAGAACTAAGCTGCGCTAGTCCTAACCAAGTAGACATATAAGGTACTTACTCGAATAAGAACTTGACGTAATTGATGACATAGCTTGTTAGTGGGTGGACAGTCCCATCTAGAACAGCAGTCTTTGTAGCATCCTTTTCAACAGCTTCTTCAAAATCACCAAATGTTTCCTGAGCAGTCTGTGCCAACCGCTTTGTTAATCCCATAGCAGAATCTCTAATTTCAAGGCATGCTTTACCTTTGAAAATTGTCTCAATCTGTCAGTGGACACAAATTTCATGAGATTGTAGCGCCATCTAATATTATTCATTAGCTTATACAATACAAATATGGGTTCAGAGGTGAATCAGGCATGTAGCAAAGCTCACTAAACAGAAAACTAGAATCAAAATCTGAAAAATTCACCAAAAGCTGAGACTAGAGAAAAAGTTTTCCCTTTAACAGAAGTCTCTTCAGTGTTTGGAATGAGAAAAAAAAAATTACCTCTGTATGAAGCTCCCGCATTATCTCATACATGTCTAAGAGTACAAACAACTTTTCTGGAGATCTCTTGCTCCTAGCTATAGCATCCCCAAAGCTAAGTAGCATTGAGACACTGCTCACTGTAACTTCTGAGAAACACTGATCACTAAGAGAATCGAAGCCTTGGAATATCTGGTCACATACTTGCCTTTCTCCAGCAAAGAGTAATTTAACCTGTTGAAAGTGTCTTTGAGTTAGGAGCCAACATAACATGCTAAAAAATATTGCAAATCTTAAATAGCGTTCTTACAGCAATGCGCATAAAGTGGATCCAATTTCCTATTTTGCCCTCCAGAACTTCCCACTGCATCCTCTGAACATCCTCCTTGCTAAGCTTTTCAACTCCCAATTTCCTCAAGCTTTCTTCCAAGACAAAAGAACGTGTTTCTCTGAACAAAACACAAAAGATTGAATAGAAGTATATTAAAAAACAATTTCAAAACACACAAATGTATCTTCAGTATGCATTGGAAAAATGCCAGTAGATTATGCAGTTACAATGAGTCGAGAATGGACAAGAATCAGCTCACTTGTAAATCTGTAGTAAGAGTTGCTGGTGGCCAGCCTGGACCATTTGCTGAGCCAAATCATGCAAAAGTGGCAACACCCTTGATGGAATGAGGACCGGAAGTGTGTAAACAGCAATTTCTGAGTCATCGTGGTGGTGTCCTCCGTGAGGCATTAGGGATTTTCCACTACCATCGCCATCTGCAGATGGTCTCAGCGAGTTTGGAAGGCCATCAAAAAGGCGATCAGGCTCCACAGCTTTACTGATTATCACAAACATAATTCAAAAAAAAAAAGGGGAATGAGGGCAATACGAGTGAGTGAAGGTGGATAGAAAAAAAAAACAGATAATTTAGACTTAAATACTTATATTGACAAGTGCTATTTTTGATAACTCCGATAATAAAGGAAAGAAAATGTCATTTTAACTACATTTTACACCGTAAACACACCCAAACTAATAAAATAGCAAAACTCCACAACTATAAATGTCCTCGAAGTTAAAGGCTAGGAATCATGGTTATAGTATAAAGTCTGAAACAGGAACCATGTGTGTATATATATATATATATGCAAGACACTAGATAATACGTTCTAAAACCCCCTAGTTAGGTACAAAAGCACAAACCTGTAAGAAGCTAGCAATTGTTTAAACTCATCTTCGAGCTTAGACTGAGCTTTGGCAAGCAAGCTATTAGCATGGTAAAGGACTCCATCACTACTCTTAAAGCTCTTGTTGCTGCTAAAATAACGAATAATTTTCCTGAGTTGAGCAATTGCCTCCAGGTAACTCTCCAGATCCTCATGTGGCCCCTTGAGTACTTTAGACTCTGCCTAAAAAAATCAGTTGAGAGCAATAAACTTTTGCTCAATAACCACACAATCCAAGCTCTATCCAAATCCAGAGATCCTCACACAATGAATTGAAAAACAAACCTGGCGGAGAAGAACGAACTGAGAGAGAATAACCTCAGCAGCTTTGAGAGTCTTATCAATATTCTCGTGAGCTTTCCTTATAGCATGCGTTCTAATCTGCGATATTCCAAACACACAGTCAACGAAAAATCACGATCAAGTCAAGCGAACAAAGTCAAGAGAGATGAATGGAAGATGTGGATAGAGCGGAGACCTGAGTGGGACGCATGGCAGATTCGAGAGCAGAGAGACGGCTATCGAAGGAGCCGAGGATGGAGACTACATTGTCAGTTATGGTTTGACTCTTCTGCAGAGACTGCCTCATCAACTGAGCTCTTTCGCTCAGCAGATCCATTCGGCTAGCAACCGCCATGGAGAATCCACAAAACTGAAAAGAATGTTTTCTATTCGCCGTTGGTAAAAAGAGAAGTTGAAGAGAAAGAGAGACGACGGTTTGGTGGCGCCAGAGCCGGTACGAGTTACACAGCTAAGACCTCTGTTTTAAATATTTATTAATCTTTTAATAATAACAATCCAATTAATGTAGAGAGATTGTGTTTTATCATAAATGAAAATGAAATGTATAAATGTTAATAATTGTATCTTTTCATTACAAAAAGTTTTGTCTTTTTATAAATTAAACATTTGAATTCTTTTAAAAAATAATTTCACTATAAAAAAAATAGTTTTAAAAATAGTTAAAATATTCCAATAATTAAGTATTGTTTTACAATTATTAGTTTAAGATTTATGTGTTTTATTATAAAATAGAAATTGGTAATAGAAATCCTAATAAATGTTTAAAGTTATGTGAAACTAAAATGTTAAGAGTTGTATTTTCATTAAAATTTGAATATTTTCATGAAAATTGAATTCTATTAGTTTTGAGAATTGTATCTTTTCATTATAAAAAAATAGATTAGTTTTAACATTTGCTAAAATATCCCAATAAGAATCTTTGTATAATTATTAATTTAAGAATTGTGTATTTTCATATAAAATACAAAATAATAATAGAAATTTCAATTAATGTCAAAAGTTGTATATTTCATAAAGAAGCTAAAATGTATCTTTTATATATTAAAATAGAAGTCATGACTTGACTTCATGTGTGATTTTTTAAAAAGTGGACTATTACTAGAAAGTTATGTTACATTAACTCTCTAATAATCTTATCATTATTATATCTTATGAAAAATCATATATATAATAACAAAGATACGCTTAACAATTTGGTTTTGGTAAATTACCCCCCACCTTCCAACTTAATCACGCAAAATATGTCAATAGATATACGTTTAGGAATCTTCTATTATTTATAAGGAAATATGTCAATAATAGCTAAATGCATCCACAATATATTAACAAAAATCACAGATTCGTAATATGGAGTATTTATATACCCTAACAAAATTTACATGCTATATATACTAGATAAATTTATTTCGATGTAAATTTTTAAAATTATATTGTTTTAAAAAAAGAAATTGTTTAAAAAATCCATTTTTAATAAAATTCTTTATAATATTAATTTATGAAGCTATAAGTTTAGTTTTTAGCAAAAATTTATTCGAAGTTTTTATTATCTTTGCAAATTAAAATATACTAATATTTAATCAAGCTCTATTTATATTACTTTATATAAAAATAAAATATTAATCTAACAAACAATTTAATATAGAAGAAGAAACAAACACATGTTTTTCAAACATGTGTAATATAGAAAATTTGAAACAATCTTTTTGATTAAAACATGTATTATATAATATTATTATGTTTGAAAAACATTTACTATACATATCGTAAATATGTGATTACTATAATATATACCAGTTTACAAGTGAAAACAAAATGTTTATATAATTAACTATAAACGAAAACAAACACCCACGTGGTTGCGCGGTCAATATCTAATTTGTTTTAAGAGTCATGTTTTGATTATATTAAAATTGGGTTTTTTTATATAAAAACTAAACTCTATTAATTTTAAGAATTGTGTATTTTCATTATAAAAACAAAATAAATAAATTTTTAAAATAATTATAATATTCCAGTACGTGTATTACTAAACTAAATAAAAGATCTGACTAATAAAGTAGCCCTTAGCCCAGTAACGTAATAGCCCATTAAACACGAGTGCGAATAAGTTAATGGCGCAAGCCAAGACGTTTGAGTGAAGCAAAGTGTTGGGGAGAGGAAGCAAAGGACCAAGGAACGTTACTGTCTCATCTCATGTTCACCGTAAAGAATAAAATCTCCTATTTATTATCATATTTTTTTATTCAATTCTGTTTGCGTCATACACGGGCAATAAAGTTCATACTTTTTTTCTATTTATAAAACTGAGAAAGAAGATAGACGTAATTATCATCAACGATAATAAGCATCATCATCATCACCATAAGCATTACAGAAACAGCTAAATAGATTCATATTTTTATTAAAATGAATCGACTTTTGTAGTTGTTGATTTGATCTCTTGTGGGTTTCTACCTTTTTCTTTCCCTCGTATGTTTTTTATTTCTTTTTTCAACAAGGACAGATCGAAGAAAGTATCTGAGTGAGAGAGAGAGAGATAGATCAAGCAAATTTTAGAGAATGGGATCGTCTTCAGGGCAAAGTGGATACGATCTGTCGTTTAAGATATTGTTGATAGGAGATTCGGGTGTTGGTAAAAGCAGTTTGCTTGTCAGTTTTATCTCCAACACCGTTGAAGATCTTGCTCCTACCATCGGTAATTTTTAAAATTTGTGTTCTCTTTTTCGTTTTGTGTGTTGTTTGATCCAACATTAGTTTCCCATTATATCTGTCTGGGCTTCAATCTGATGATCATCTGTCTGCTTTGTGTTGGACATTCTCTGTTTAATGATCGCATTCACAAATATCTTTAGTAATTAATACTAAGAATCTTCTGTCTGAAGAAATTACTTTAGTTACTTGTAATCTAGCAATGTAGTCTTTTAGTTTGGTTTAGTCTGTAGAATTCTGTTTTGCCGGATCCTGTTGGTGTAACATTGTTGATATTAACCTAATTAGGTGTCGATTTCAAGATCAAACAATTGACAGTAGGAGACAAAAGACTCAAACTCACAATCTGGGACACAGGTGGGTGATTCTTTACTTACAATTTATTTATGTTATATTTCAGAAGGAAACTAATGTAACATTCTCGGTTTTCTTGTTTGTAGCTGGACAGGAACGGTTTAGAACACTGACTAGCTCTTACTACAGAGGTGCCCAAGGAATCATTCTCGGTAATGTCCCATCATCATATCAATCTATTACAAAAGACTAAAAAAGAGATCTATATCCTTGTCTGTAAACTGTTTTAAGTTAATGTTTTCTTTTGGTGAATGCAAGTTTATGATGTGACGAGAAGAGAGACATTTACAAACTTAGTAGATGTATGGACTAAGGAGATTGAGCTTAATTCCACTAATCAAGATTGCGTTACGATGCTTGTTGGGAACAAAGTCGATAGAGTGAGTTGCAATCCAAATTACACACCTTAACATGGTCTGTTTATTCGCTGGTTGTCTTTGATGAAACACATATATATGATGATTAACAGGAATCTGAGAGAGGAGTTAGCAGAGAAGAAGGGATTGCGCTAGCCAAAGAGCTCAAGTGTATGTTTCTTGAGTGTAGTGCTACAACTCGAAAAAATGTAGAGCAGTGTTTCGAGGAGCTGGCTTTGAAGGTAAAGATACATTAATATATGTTTAGATCCAAAGGGAATATGTAACAGAGAATGTTTTTGTGATGAAACAGATAATGGAGATACCTAGTCTTTTGGAAGAAGGATCAAGTGCTGTGAAGAAAAACATCTTGAAGCAAAACTCAGATCACCAGACTACTCCTCAAGCAGGCTGTTGCAGGTCTTGAGGCGAGTCTGTCCTGATTCCTTTCTCTGACTTTGCTTCGTTTGCGATAATGATAGTTTCTCTGTGAATTTGTGGGATTTCCACTGCTCTTCTTTTGCTTCTGGAGTGAGATTTGTAATAACTAATAGAGTGAATCACCCTATCCAGTCCTTTTTTCAAATAACTAGCTGTTATGGTGGCTCAAACTTATATTCGATTAGAGAACACCTTTCAGTTGTGAAGAAGATGATCCTTATTTGAACAGTTAACTTTTATAAATTCAAAGCCTATACATTGTTTTAAAGCAATACTAGTGCTTGACACCCCCTCGGGCGAGCGGGTGTGTACTTTTACTAATTTATATTTTATTTATATATTATATAAGTTAACTATTTATATTTTAAAATTTAATTAAATATAACTTTATATTTATATTTTGATCATGGATTTTAATCTATGTGTGTATTAATATTTGTAAGAACATATGTGAAAATCATTATTTTTCTCTTGGTTTTTTAATCTGTATACTCTTATCTGATTTGTGTATTTTAGTTAAGCAGAGCATAAAAAGCATGATTACAAATACATATATTGTATATGCTAAATCAAAAATCATTATTAAATCAGTTATAGCTTTTTATTTATAGATAAGTTAAATTATAGAAAATATTTATTTTTCCTCTATTAAAAGGAATGAGCACGATATTTTAACAAATGATTAAGTTCTTAATAGTATAAAAATATTCTTAAAAATTGTGTATGTCAATAATAATAATTTGTTAAGAACGGAAATAGTATTAATCGAAAATATGCAAACACTTAACAATAACTCCTAAGACAACACAAATAAACACACATAAATAAAAAATTTACTTTAAATTTGATGAACAATTATAGTGGTAGTATGTAATATATTTATATTGATGAGAATACAAAAAATTAGACCAAAGTAAAAAAAAAAAAATAATAATAAAAATAATATTGGGGATAATGATTATAGAGATAATATGTAACTTATATTGTTACATAAATAGTTTATTTCTGTTATTGATGTGCATTAATGTTAATAGTATTGATATGATGTAGTTCAAAAAAATTATAGTTATGAAATATATAAATTATTTTAGGAAATATTATATTAATTTTAGAAAAAAAATAACCATAAATATAGCTTCATTTAATATATCAGTGGCATGACAATGTAAATATAATAAAAAACTAAGGAGTAATCTATATTTGTACCTCTCTTTTAATAGATTAGATAGTCTTCCCAGCTAGTAAACTAGACATAAAATCATGACAATCAATGGATACCTTACTAGTCTTAAGTAACAACACAAGAACAATATCAGAAAGACCATTATACTCCTAAATGTAACTAGATCAAGCTGATTTCTTGGTTGCAAAAGAAGATGAAGCAGCATCTTGCTTACCGATCTTGATGCCTTGGGACTGTACTGAAACAATGTTTTTCACTCATCTATAGTGTCGGTAATAACATCAAGAGAGAGAATTTTTGGTAGCAGTTTCCCATGGTTTCATACATTCATTAAAAAACATTTGAGGTAATAGGATATTTCTGGAATGCGGGAACGGAAAGAATACAAATGAATGTTAGTTATGATCTAGTGCAGTCGGTGCAGTGTAAAACAACAGAACTAAAATAGTTTCTGGTGAGTTGTCATGCAGTTAGTGGGTGAAAGAGGTTGTTTTGCTGTTTACTCGTCTATCCAGCAAAGTATCCAATCACGCCAGAGGCTCTGTTTACATATGGCATGGTTACTATATTTAGGGCCGGACATTTTATCCGTTATATTTGATTCGATTCATTATTCGTTTTGATCCGATCCGAATATTCTGGATATCCATAAACTTTCAAATCAAAGCAAATACTAAAATTCAATATCCGTTAAAATCGAAGCAAATCACAAATATTAAAATTTTGAGAAGCGGATATCCGATTCGATCCGGAAATATATAAATATATGTATATAATTATATTTAAAAAATCAACTGTATAAAACTATATCTCTTATATATTAATCTTGGAGTATTACAATATATTTTGCTAACCACGTGTCACCACTACATTGATTTTTAGAATTCTTTAAAAAAATTAGTTGGTATATTTTAATATATATTATATTTTTTTATTAAACTAACTATGCAATTAATTGGTAGTGTATAAAAGAATATTCTTCATTATTTCCTTAAATAAAAGCTACGAAACTGCATAATATGGTTAACAAATATATGATAATTAATGATTATGAATAATAAAGATTTGATAACAATTTTCTATCCTCCATCCTTTTTAAAAATTTTGCATTTTTAAAATAAATTAAACAATCATATGGTGCATCATCGAAAGATGATAACTTTAGTTCATACAGTGAGTCTCCAACACAAGACAAATACTCACCAACGCTACCTCCTAAGAAAAGATATGGCAAACATGAATGAATTCTTAAGACTGATTTATTTATTCTTTACAGCTGAGTTATACATAATTAACGCTGAGTTATGATTATAATACTCCTCAGTTTTAATCAAATTACGGCTGAGATATGCATACCTTATGGCTGAGTTATGCATGCGTTACTGCTTAGTATAAATCTAAACTATAATCTAAGTTCTAAACCTAAACCTTAAACTTTAAATGATAAAATTATTAGATTTAATGTTCAAAATATAAATTTTATAACTTTTGTAACTTTATAGTTTTATAGTTTAGGGTTTGAGGTTCAAATTTTTTTTAAAAAAATTATAGTTTTAATATTATGTTCAGAGTTGACAGAATGTTTTTGATCCCGCAATACGAAACGTCACGAGAAAATTACATTTTAACGCCATTTTTATAATATATTAAAAAATTAAGATGTTTTCTTATAGATCTATATTTTGAATTTTTAAACGATTATAAATTACTAAAATTGTAAAAGTCAACATTGAAATTTTTGTGATCAAGGATTTAACTATTTGTTTAAAAAAATACAAATGATCATAAAATCATATAAATATTCAGATTATATATATATATAAAATACATAAACATGTTAATTTCAAAATTTGCTTTGAGTATATAAGAAGCATCGGATAATAAATATTCATATAAATAAAATAATATTATTTCAGTAAATATAAAAATGTTAGTTAAACCATATGTATACAAACTTCAATTAATAAGTATTTATATTAATTTATATTCTATAATTTTGTTGATATCTTTTTTTAATTATATACCTTATAAAATAAATAATTCATTATTTCAAATCTTTACAAACAAAACAATATTGTAAATACAAAGAGGGATGGGTTTTATTTATATGTTCACTCCAGTTTAACTATATACGTAATAGTTACTCGCTTCTCAATTATTTAATACTAGGTGATCTTTCCGTGCTCATGCACGGGCATAAATATTTATAAAATAAAAACTAATTTATATAATTTACATTAATAATATTATATTACTTTAATTATATATATGATTTTAGATATGTTATATTTAGTCGAGTTTTTGTTTTTATAGTCGATTTAACATTACATATTGAACTCCATCTATTTCTCTGAATTCAACAATAAAATTTTCTTTATTTTGAATATATTAAGTTGTTTGTTGTCTTAAAAATATTTCAATAATACTAATTATAATTATTATTTTTCTGCTAATTACACATATATCAGTTTATGTTACTTTATTATTTTATGTAACTAAGAAAATAGATAGATATATTAAAAAAAAAATTATTACTTTGAAAATATATATATTTTATTTTTTATAATTATTTTTGTAAAGAAAAAATATTTCTTTTTCTAATATCATGAAGATTATATGTGTGAATTTTTTTTTATGAAATCACATTATCTACAAATATTTTTTATCTAAGAAGTTATAGATTTAACGAAAGTATTTTATTACTTCAAAATGATATTTGGGGGATTTGCCAAAACCAACCTAAAATTTCATTTCAACCCTAAAGGTGTACCCCTTATTGAGTCAAATGCAAAACCAACCTAAAGGGGTTATGAAGTTACTACTTAACCCTTGTGACCAAACAAAAAACAGACAGTTATTTTACGGTTCTGTCCTTTGCAAGTCTACACATAATAGAGAGAAGTCTACACATTTGTAGACCTTCTTAGAAGTCTACTCTGTAGACGTATTCTACAGTCTACATCGTCATTTGATCTTATAATTTAATTTTAAAAATGTATAAAAATAATTTTTGGGAAGTTTTTAAATAAATCATCAATATNTACATTTTTGATTATCAAATAAATATTTAGGGTATCAGATTTGTGGTTTAGGGTTATAGTAGACTTACAATAAAGTCTACTTACATTTAGGGTTTGCTCAAACAATAAAGCAAAAAAAAAAAAAAAAACGGAGTTGTAGACTTACCCGTAAGTCTACACACTTATACCAAATTAACCTAACCGGATTTAACCAACTTAGCGTATAGTAGACTTACAGTTAAGTCTACTTATATGTAGACGTCTATTTCAGTCTACGTTAATTTGTGTTTACCAAAATAAATTATTTTAAAATTAAAATTAACTAAGCGGGAAGTAAAAATTAATTTTGGAGCCCATTTTTTCCATATTGGCGCCAATATATAGGGTATAGTAGACTTACAGTAAAGTCTACTTATATGTAGACGTCTATTTCAGTCTACTAAATTTATTTATGAATTAAAATGTGAATTAAAATTTTATGAACAAAAAATATATACTAAGTCTACTAAATATATAATGAAAAGAAAATTTTTAGATTATATATTATAAACTATTTAAACAATAAATAAAAATATTATAGTAGATTTCTTTGGAAGTCTACCTAACTTAAAGTTTTTACCAAAATAATTTTAACCAAGCCAAAATTAAACCAAAGACTTTTAACCTAACCAGAAAAATGACTTGACATATAAATACTCTTTGTTATTAAAAAAAAAAAGGGAGCGACAAAAAAAAACAAGCTGCCTCTCTCTCTCTCTATTTCTCTTCTCTCTCGGTAGGTGGCTCTGTTCGATGATAAGGCCACGTCTCTGCGGTGGCTGTCGTCGAGGAAGGGAAAGGCGATCTATCTCGGTTTCTTTCCTCCCTTCTCTCTCAGGCGAATTAATGTTTTTTGGATTCATCGATCTGATTTTTTTTGTTTTAGTTTGGGCTTGTAAGTCATTTTTTTGTGTTTTGGTTGATTCTGATAAACGTGTGGTGATTTGTTTCAGGGTAATTCAATTTCTACAAGAAAGTATAATGTTTTCACCTTTCTGCCCAAGGGTCTGTTTGAACAGGTAAATAATACATATGATGGTTTTTTGTTTAATCCCAGTAGGAAAATAAGAGAAGTAATACATTTGAATG